AGAGCGTCGGGGAAGGTAATTTTCACCTGTTTGTATATGGTACTCGTGCCACATTTCTCGTTACCAATCAAGAGAAGCTTGTGAAGATGTTTCTGTTCATATGATGGTAAAGCTGGTTCTACTACAGAAGGAGCCGGAGGAATTGGCAGAGACAATATGGCACATGCTAACCTCGCTCGTTTCTGAAAAAGGGAAGAAATCATCAACAGTGATCTAGAGTTTATAATCAAGAATTAAAATCCAGAAAATTTAAAAAGCAAGCCTTTATGCTCGGGAGGCGAACCTTTTCCCAAATGTTCCCTTTCACATGATTCTGACCTTCTTCCATATAAGATCCATCTGAATTGACCCAAAAATGTGGCTTCCCTTCACATTGCACTCCGACCATCTACATGAGTGTACAAGACACTTGATCAGCAAATCGAGGTTTTGGATTTGAAAATACATTGAAATAAGAAACTGTTGAACATTTCTTTTCCACGAAGAACCAAAACAAAAAAGAAAGAGTAGAGATGCATGTTCGGTGAAAGAACCTTCAGCATCCGGAGTTCAGCGCTGGTTATCTCCCGATTATTAATCAATATTTCTGAGTCACCGTTGCTCGCGTCCTTCTTTATGTTACCCCCGATGTTCATATGATGACTTATTATCTGGCAAGGTTTATCTCCATCCTGTCAGAGAAATAAATAGCTTTTACTTGTTGCTCAACTAAAAAAATTCTATACTGGGAAGAAAAGGAGGAGATTAGGAATTTCACCTTGCCCCAATATCCAGCGACCTTATCATACCAGTACCTTCCTGGTTTTAGTTTCTTCGGTGGATTTGGACATGTCTGCAACATAAATAGTTCTTCTTCACTTAGAGGTATGCAATTGACAACAATAAGCCGTGACGGCAATTGATTTGCCTTGCATGATATCTCGGCATGTCGACAGTTTAAGTTCCGCATCTGTAAGAAGGCGCCTCAGCATTCTTGAACACTTGCCCAAACTCCCCCTCTTCGATTCATCAATCCTTCTACCAGTGCAAGTGATACATTTTCTTCCTTCGGGCATTGAACCCATCGCTCTACGCACACAATTGAAACAATACTTGGCATCACAGACAATGCAAACCTCCTTCTCAGTAAACCGGTTCCCCAATAGGCATCGGTAGCATGTCCCTTTTTTACCTCTCCTTTCAGCCTTTGGTGTTGCACGGAAACTTTCAGCATCAGAAAGGTCATACCCTTCATCGGTCGCACTACTCATATGGGGTTCGACAAAAGTAACAGATGCTCTTGCACCATGGCCACTATTTACAGCTTCGACATTCTCCTCTTCACCAGATAATTCCTCGGACGAACTTGAATCCCTATCATCATGTAGCCCTCCCCCTTCATCGTAGTTATCCGATGACCGAGTCCTTTTAAAACTTTCACGCAATCTAGTTATATCATCGAGAGCATCAGAAGCTCTTTCATCACCTAAACTCTTTGTATCATCAGGTAACCTGTGATTACTCTCCCAACTAGCAGAACCCGATAAACCCACCCTCCCCGACGATGACGACAAAGATGATGAAGGTAAATCACCCGAACTTTTTGTGTCGTCTAATACGTTATGATCATTCACATCACAACTAGGAGAGCCCGAAACATCAGCCATTACTAATGAAGATGGCAATGATGGCGAGGAGGAAGATGATGATCCTGAAACTACATGATGACCCTTCAAAACTACACTGGATTCAGGTCCCGGATCACCTAAACCGCTATGCCCGGGTCCAAATTCATCGCCTTTTGATGGTCTTTTGCCAACCCTTTTCGCCTTAACAATGGGCGGAATAATTGGAACTTGAACATCATTCAATGGGGAAGAAAAAGAAACCGGTTGAGCAACAGGGATCTGATCAACCTCTACGGGAGCCGCTCGGGGGATATTAGCAATTGGGGGGCCTTTATACTCTATAGCAAATGAATAATCAATCCGAAAGCTATTACCAGTTTCATCACTATCGTCACTGTCATGACCCCTTCTAGGACTTGATGATGCAAAAGGTAATAACTTCCTCAAAACAGCAGCCATTTGATCTGTCTCCAAATTCAGAAAGAAAAAAAAAGCCCTAAATTCCACACTTCCGAAATCAGAAACTAATCGAACGACAAGCCCACCACAGAACAAACCAGTCACTATCCAGAACAATAAACGAGGAAGATCCAAGAGTTACCACGAGAAATCCTGAAATCCTCCGAAGCAAAATGGGTAATCACAAACTGCGTGAACCCTGAATCTGAACTTCAGCTTCACTAAACGCAGATTCCGACCTCAGAGAACTCGTTCAGCTTTCAAAAATCGGGAAACAAAGTCGAAGTTTTTCATTTGAACAGGGGATTTTCCAAGAAAGAGAAGAAGGAAAATGGACAGAAGAAGAAAGAAGAATCTCGTAAGAAAATAACGGAAAAAAAGAAAACAATCTGAGAGATAAAGGGAAGGGTCGGGTCGAATTCTCACTGGTAAAAGACGATGACTTGGTAGTAGCGGACATTTTCCTTTTCGTTGGGTTAAGTTTCCGGGAAAATTCTCGACGTCAACGCGTCCACAGAAGGAATGGGAAATGATCCCTTGGCAAAGAAGTTTGAAGCAGTCAAACCGATGGCAATATCGTAAATTTACCGGTCTTTTGTCCGGTTTGAGCTTTACCAAAATTTAATTTTCAATAACCGAATTTACCAAAATGTTGTCCAAAAGGTGCACATACTTTATATTATGATCTATTAATTAAAGAACATAGATTAGCGGATTATTTAACCAAACTAACAATTTTTTACTTTTTAATATTTATGATTGATTTATTTTTTTTATCTATAAAGTTATAAGGATAATACTGATTTCCCTAATATTATAATCTCTCGTCAACGTTATAAAATTAATTTTTAAATTCATATCAATATCGAGATAAATTGAGCAACTCTTTCTATTAATATATCTATATTTGATAAGATATTACGAATTTTCAAATTTTTCAGGAGTATTAAATATTTTTTTGGCTTTGTTGTATAATATTAAATTATATCTAAAAGTAAATATAAAGAATATGATATATATTTTTTTATATTTTCAATACGATTTACCCTAAAAAGTATTTTAAAAAAATGTGGAATGCAATAATCAATATTGTGCTTTTCTGAAACGCGGTAGAAGGACGACTCAAACTAAATATAATAATGAGACAAAAGGTTGAATTATTTAATGTTTGTGTAGTAATGTTTACATGGTCAAATCTTCTGTCAATTAATTTTTTGTGGTTGGCCTGAAGGTTTCACAAATATAATTTTTTTTTGCAACGAACACCTGACTGCTATCCTTCGAGTATATCCTTCGGATAAATGGATCATATAAACCCAGAAATTATCTCCCTCCACACCAGCCAAATATCGAACACTCAACCTCAAGGTGGAATTATCTCCTACCCAAACTTGACCACTCGTCCACGATCTGTTGAGTTCAAAGATGGAAAGTTTATTGTAGAAATTGTCAATCCTATAGGTGGCTTAATCAGATTACGGTTCGCGTTCGACTCGATTCTATTCAGGTTTAATTATTTCGGTTTTAAAAAAATTATAACCGTTCAGTTTTTACGTAGAATTCGTTTGGATTTGGTTCGGTTATATTCGGTTCAGATTCGGTTCGGTTATGATAAAAATACTCATTTTTAAGAAAATTTACGGTTTTTTCGGTTATGTTTTTATTCGGTCCGATTTGGGTTCGAAATCAGTTTTTTTGGTTTTAAAAAAATTATAATCATTCGATTTTACATCTAATTTGGTTCGGTTCTGGTTGTTCGGTTCGGATCGATTCGGTTATTAACCAAATAAGTATCCTTGTCCCCATTTTTCTGGAAAAAAATCGATAAAGCAAAATATCAAACTATTTATATTTAGAATATTTACTCATATATGTATATATATACACAATAATTAACAAACTGGATCACAACACATTTGTGGGAAAAAAAAAAACTGGATCACAACACATGGGAGTTCGTTTGACGTGGCACGTGGGATGTTCCTTGGATTCGCCTAGAGGCTTTAAATACGGAATAATCGATGTGTATATATAATTTCAAATTTCAATTCTTAAGACGACACGCCACGTGGCACAAACCCATATGTCCAGAGCATCCCCGTCATACGCTCCTTTTCGCTCATCAGTCATCACAATCCAATTTTTTCCTCCATTCTCGCACTCGCTCTCTCCCTTCCTTCATCCAATTCTTACAGAGATCATAAGGCGGAAGTTTCCAGACCGGAGACTTTAGTTCCCGCCCCCCCCCCCCCG